GCTCCTCCCGCACCCTGCACCTTACCATCTGCACCCCACACATTACCATCTGCCAGGTGCCACTGGCGCTGCTGGAGGGTAAAGTGCGCTGCATTGTGTGGCCTCCCCACAGAATAGGCGGGGTGGAGAGTCGAATGCCTGAGGGGAGAGTGCTGCCTTTGAGGCAACAACATTGAAAAGGCTTCTGGAAAATGGGTGTGCTAATGCGTTACTTTCACACGGAATGGGGGGGATGGAGAGTCATCCGCTCTGCTGGAGCGGAGTGCTGCCCATGAGCACTGGGAACAAGGAGCTGCTTCGAATCTGAGATGAATGCGCCTGAAAGCGGAATTCTTTTTGCCCTCTAGTGGAACAGGGGCCACTGGGAAGTTGGATCTCGGGGAACAGGAAAGTATATTCAAGAGCAATATTGGGATGCAAGAGCATTTGGCACTGCATCAGCTGCGTGAAGGGTACGCAGGGCTAAGGTGAACACAGCAGGACATGGCTGTTAGCTGGCTGATGTGGAATTGTGGCTCGGATATGGCTTCCCATGAAGAAATTCAATTTAGGGCCTTGCTTCCTGTGCCTACCTGCAGCATGTCCTGTCCCACCTACCGTAATCACCCGGACATACCACCCGCCGAAATAGAGCACCCCCCGGGTGGCTTGTGCGGGGGGGGTGCTATAGCGGGCCTCGTTTCTACTATACCCCCCTTTTGGGGCGATCCGGTATAGCACCCGGGAGGGGGTGTTATGGACGGGTAATATTGCAGTTTTTGCCTAAATAGCACTGGGTTTCCAATGATTAACCATCTACATGTTAACATCAGCACAACCAAGCTACAACTGACGCAAAACAGCGATAAAACTCCCATCACACAGTCTTTCCTTCATTCAACAGGGGCCTACTACCATCCAGACAGAATGCTCTTTACCTACACAGGTGGTGTTAGCACACTCTGCCGAGCATTGCTCGAGTTCGTGGAATGGAGCCGCTGCAGGGAAAGAAGGATCAACTCCTTCTCAGTACAAGGACGTGACCGCCCCAGCGAGGCAGCTGAGGCTGTTGCGGGCGCTCCGCCTTTGTGACTGCATGAATCCTCGTCGAGCGACGAGGGGGTGTGTTTTCGACCAATCAGGGCCTGACAGTGGGCCTTGTTGGAGCTTGCAATGTGGCAGCTAACCCTCGAGACTAACGTTATCGCCCAGTCCTCGGTTTTGCGCACCCAACCAACAATCTACCACCACGTGAAACATGTACATTTTGTTCTTAACCTTTTGTGCTGTAAAAAATAATATACATTATGTAAAGACCCGGGTGCAATGTAGCTTTTTCCGATGACAAGACCCCCCCCCCCCCCCCCCCCCCCCCCCCCCCCCCCCCCCCCCCCCCCTTTTTTTTGTGTAGTTATCATAGCACCCTATGGTGGTATATCCGGGGGAATAAGGTATCTCTTTGGACCGCAAGACGATCTGCTCAAAGAATTCCAGCAAATCACGGTTTGCTTGTGAATCATGCCACGACTTATGACTCGCCGTTCCTGACCCTGCAGCATAGCCATCCCTTCAGCTCTATTCTCTGTCCTCTGCTTCATCCTCCATCCATTCCGCCCAACCAATCTCCTTCACTCTGTTACTCCTTTTTACAAGGCACTTTTGTGAAGTAACGAGCCTGAATGGATTTATCATTCAGCATCAGCCAATCCTCTCTCTCCTCATCCATCCCCATCCGCTTCCTTCGAATCAGCAGGCCTGCCTGATTGCTCTCTTCTTGCTCCAATCGCCTCGGCAAATCGTGATCCCAGGGTGGATTGGTCACCCTCCTTCATCTGCCACTCTGCTGCTACTTGCTGCACCTGCCAGCAGCAGGCAGGGAGCGATATAGAAAAAGAAGGAAGAGAAATAATAAAATTTCATGATTTGAGGATATCCGAAACCTGAGAACAGATGAGTTGAGAACCAAGAGGAAGAGCCTGGTGAAGGAACAACGCCTTAATCACAAAAGCCAGGGATTACCTGGTGATTGAGAGGGGAGAGCCACTGAGCAATGGCATCGATTCGTGGTTGAACGGCGGCTTTCCCCTTTACTGGAAGGTCCTCAAGCTGGTGATAGGAGTGGAGAATCACATGCATGAGCAAAGAAACATGTTACAGGTAAGAGCCTTGAGAGCAAAACACTTTCCCCTTCACAGGGAAGTCCTCAAGCTGGCGATAGGAGAGGGGAGTTGCATGAACAGCAAGTTATTAGTTGCAGTTGCCTTGAGATTGCAAAGGCATTCCCCTTCACATGAAGGCCCTCCAGCTTGTGAAAGGAGGGGAAAATTGCATGCATGAGCAGCATTTTAGTACTTTAAGGTGCCTCACAATCGATACGAATCTTTTTGCGCCTAAAAAATACCTATTTGGAAATTGGTGGAGAGAAATACGGATGGCTGCGAGGATGAAAATGAGGACAAAGATTGAGAAAAGGAGGGGGAGTGGGAGGGTGACAATGGGGAGAGAGGTAGGAGGGGGAGAAGGAGTAGGAGGGGAAGAAGGACAGTCACACAGCAGCATCACCACATCATGTCACTCACACAGTAGCACTTCCAAATCAGGGCACACACACACACCACCAGCAGCAGCACCACATCAGGGCACACACACACACACCACCAGCAAAAGCACCACCGCATCGCACGCCGTTTGAACATCCAAGGCTCCAAAAGTAGTTGCCACAGTTGCTCCCCCTGCCACTACGTGTGTTTTGAGTCGACTCAAAACACAACACCAGCAGCAGCACACACGCCACCACAATGTATACCGTTTGCACATCCAAGGCTCGAAACATAGCTGCCACAGCCACTGCTGCTCCCCCCGCCACCAGTAGCCCCCCCAAGCCAGAAGGTGTGTTTTGAGTCGACTCGACTGTAACACAACACCACCACATTGCATACCGTTTGCACATCCAAGGCTCGAAACATAGCTGCCACAGCCACACCCTGCCACCAGCAGCAGACCCCCCCCCACCAGCAGACCCCCCCCCACCAGCAGACCCCCCCCCAGCAGCAGACCCCCCCCCAGCAGCAGACCCCCCCCCAGCAGCAGACCCCCCCCCAGCAGCAGACCCCCCCCCCCAGCAGACCCCCCCCCACCAGCAGACCCCCCCCCCACCAGCAGACCCCCCCCCACCAGCAGACCCCCCCCCACCAGCAGACCCCCCCCCACCAGCAGACCCCCCCCCACCAGCAGACCCCCCCCCACCAGCAGACCCGCCCCCACCAGCAGCCCCTCCCCCCCACCAGCAGCCCCTCCCCCCCACCAGCAGAACCCCCCCCCCGGCCAGCAGACTCCCCCCCCCCCACCAGCACCCCCCCCCACACCAGCAGCCCCCCCAGCCAGTAGGCGTGTTTTGAGTCGACTGTAACACAACACCACCACAATGCATACCGTTTGCACATCCAAGGCTCGAAATGTGGCTGCAACGGCCACAGCTGCTCCCCCCGCCACTATCACAGTGGCTATTGCAAACGACTTGGTCACTGATTGGCCATGCAGGAGAATGATAAACACAAGGAGGAGGGGAGGGAAGCGCAAGGAGGAGGGAGAGGGAAACGCACTTGCAAACGACTTGGTAGCTGCTCCCACAACGAAAGGAGAGGGAGGGAAGACAATGGGAGGTGGGAGAGGGAGGGAGGATGCTATAATTGAAGAGCCTAAAGAATGAACTATCATACAGGAAAACGGAACGAGACAGCGGGAAGTCGATGGGAGTGGGAACGGGGTGGGGGAGCGACAGAGTAAGGAAGGGAATTATGGAGGAGAGGCGATGCAATGAAAGCTTACGAGCATGCCCAATGTTCACTCTCACTCTCCCACCCTCCCACACTCCCACCCCTTCATCCACGCACCACACAACCCCCCACCCTCCCTGCCACCCTCCCTGCCACCCTCCCTGCCACCCTCCCTGCCACCCTCCCACCCCACAACCCGCCCAAAGACACCCACCCTCTCACCCTCCCACCCTACCACCCACCCTCTCACCCTCCCACCCTACCACCCACCCTCTCACCCTCCCACCCTACCACCCACCCATCCACCCTCCCACCCTACCACCCACCCATTCACCCTCCCATCGCCTGCTAACACACACCCATGCGGGGAGCTTGCGCTATCCAGCAACCCCCCCAGACCCCCACCCTCCCCCGCCCATGTCCCCCACCCCTGCCCTTGTCCCCCTCCCCTGCTCATCCGCCCCTCAATCCGCCCGCTGACACACACCCATGCGGAGAGCCTGCGCCATGCCCTCTGCTGTCGCCTTGTCTGGTCCACGTGGCCGCCTCTCATTGGCTGTGGACGGAGCAGGCGCGTGCGCATTATCGAATGATATCTGGTACCTAGGCGCGGCGCGTGGAGAGAGCAGGAGTGTGGAGGGGGGAGGTGTGTGGAGAGGGGAGGCGTGTGGAGTGGGAGGTGTGTGGAGGGGGGAGGTGTGTGGAAGGGGGAGGCGTGAGGAGGAGGCACGAACACGCCACAACAGAAAGACCAGCAGGGGGAAGCAGGGGGGAGCAGGGGGGAGCAGGGGGGAGCAGGGGAAAGCAGGGGAAAGCAGGGGGAGCAGGGGGGAGCAGGGGAAAGCAGGGGGGAGCAGGGGAAAACAGGGGAAAGCAGGAAAAAGGAAGAGGAAGAAAACAAGGAGGAGCACTGAGAAAACAGGAGAAAGCGGGGGAAAACGTGAGGAAGAATGAGGAAGCAGGATGATGCAGGTGAAAGCAGCAAGAAACGGGAGAAACGAGAAAAACAGAAGAAAAGGCAGGAAAAGGCAGGAGAAAGAAGGTGGATGCAATAGAAAGCACGGGGATAATCATTCTGAAACAACCCTGAAATACGAGGGTACCCAAGGGTGACCACAATGCTTCCTCAATCCACATAGTCAGCCCCTCGCCCCATCCAAGCCACGCCCCTAGAATTACACACCCAGAAAATCGTCAAAAGCTCGTTCACTGCACTCGCCCTCACTCTACCAGTCTGCACCGCACTCACTTGCCCCTGCCGAGCCGCGTCTGGGGAACATGCCCCACCGCCCCCTCCAATGCACCAGGCAACCCCCGGGACGCCCTGCTGACGTGTGGAGATCCACCTGGCGCTGATCTGCTGACGTGTGCAAATTTATCATCGTTTCCACCTCTGTCATTATTCGCTGCATCTCCAGATCCACCTGGCGAGTGCCTGACGTCCATCAACGGCTCTGATCGGCTCGCGAGAGGCAATCGATGGCTGAGAATCTCCGGGAGCACATCCACGGAGTTTTCGAAATTGGTAGATGCAGGAGGGGATGCTGATGCGGCATTGCCATCGGAACTCCCGATACATTTATCTCCATTGCGCAACTGAGCAGAATCTCTTAATTTGCTGGCCTTCAACTCGCTTTCCTGTAAAGCATGTGAAGCGGATAGACAGACGAAATATGAGATTAAATGAGGGAATGTGTAAGAAGGTGAAATAACTATGAAAGGAACACGCGGATACAAGAAATCAAGAGACAATGGAAATTTAGCCGAAATATGACGTTACGAAAGAGACACGGAACGGCAGACCGAGGTCTGGCTGATAGTAAGCGGCGGGAGGAAAAGAGGGAAGGGGGGGGAGGGGGAGGTGAAGGGCGAAAGGGGAGAGAGGAGAGGAACGAGGGGGTGGAAGGGACGAGGAAAAGGGCGGGGGCGTGGGAGGTGAATGTCCTTACTTGCTTGAAGTAGCTGTTTTCCGAAGCTCCTCGTCTAAACCGAAGGAAGCTCATAGTTTTGAACTAACGCGCGCGTGAATGAGGTAGTAGAGCGAAGTCGACCAAAAGAAAGACGGTACTACCGAAACCCTTTCTTTATTTATTTCTTTCTTTCTTTTATTTTCTTATAACGGCTGGAGTGCTGACGCACGGAATAACAGCGGAAGTAACACTAGATGACTCTCTGGACTCGTAGTAACAACAACTTGATACGAGGAAAAAAAATAGTCGGCTCTGGAAAACAGAAGAATATTCTCGAATACAACACGAAGCGCGCTTGGTATATCAGTCCACCGAGCGCACCCTAGCTAGTCTTCGTCTTGGGGATGCCTCGCCAGCACAGCTAATTCAGCTTTCACGAATTTGTACACGATTCTTGTAGGAGATGCAGAAAATTTGCACTGTACACAATTTGAGATGACTCATCAAATACTGTACTGCTCTGAGGATCCTTCATGCACGCCAGCTTTCATGCGGACTCCCCATTTCCATTGCATTTCCGAAGACTTCTCGGCGAATCACCTCTTGAGCCAACCAAACCAAAGCCCCAGCCAGCCCAACTAGCACGCGCAATGAGTGCAGCGCAAACGACACGAGATTCGCGAAGATCTGCACTTCTTACACGAGCAAGCTTTGTACAGCCCACGGGACAACATTCTACTGAATTACGACCGACCTGACCATTTCTGGGTGCAATCGTTTTTCAAGCTTTCTTTCGGAGGCACACAAAACGGCGAAACATCGTCGTTCTAAAATTTGGTGGTTTTGGTGCTTAGAATTATAACTACGCAGCGAAAATTGTTCGGCATTTTATGCAATTTTTTGCTCGTCTGCCCGTGTTGCAAGTCTCAAGTCTGTATTTTTCGTGTAGGTTTGTGCTAGTAGGACGACCCGTTGTAGTTGCGTCAGGTTTGGCTCTCTTCGGTCAGACTGGGGCTTACGCTGAGTGGCCCCCTCCTCTTCTCAGACTGGAACAGTGACCCTTTTTACCATTTGAGGTGCGAGGGTGAAGAAAACCAAAAACCAAAGTAATTACCCAGCCTTCCAGAATCACGCAATCGCATCTCCACCGTATTGGAGGCAGCAATCTGCCACCGCCTTCGCAAGTGAGCGCAGCCGCTCCATCCCTGCTGTGCATTCTGAGGACTGACCTGTGCAGCAGAGATCCATCCAAGCCTCAGAGCAGGTTCTGTTTCCTGGACGGCCAGCACTGGCAGCAATCTTGCGTGGAATGGGTTGTGGTGTTGGGAGGTTGGGAAAAGGTCCACTTTTCCATCGCATTGGTCAGCAGAATCAATCATCACGTCACTTCAACTGAGGGGTCGCCTGCATCAACAGAAGACTGGCTCCAGCCATTCCATTTTCCTTGTCTCCAGTTCGGGTGGTTCTGGGACATGTACTCTACAATTCGGATCGACGAGGGAAACGCGGGATGACACCGTCTGTTGCCCATTATTCTGATGTATATCACATTCCTACACTACTTTTTCTTTTGTGGCTCTGCCCGCCACGAAATTTAAAGGGCAAAAGCACGAACTGTGTCAACTTCTGAAAAATACTCCAGCCACAATTCCATGTTGGGCAGAACTAAGGACATTACTGTAGTCCAGGTTCATGTTCGATCTCATTTCTGAACTGTACACGTACAGCATCAGAGCGTGTTACGTACCGCTTATTTTAGGGCCTGGTCGCGGTTGCCTCGAACGGTCGGGTTATGTGAATGTAGGGTTACCAGATTACCCTAAAGTGTACAGTATACAGTAAGGGACGTGTGTACCAAGGCATCCTCACATTTGGTCGTGGCGACCAGGCACTCACCCAACCAGTTGGTCGCGCCCACATACAACCAGGTCGAGGCAACCAAGCTGCAACGTACCAACCTGGTGTGCAACCGGGGGTCCAAAAAAAATTGTGCGGGCAGGTCGCATTTGCGAGACTCAATGTGAATGGTGGAAGAAACTTTTCCATCGAAGGTTGGCCAGAAATATTGACGCACTGTTGGTTGGGTCTACCCGAAATACTATTTGCATGGTTGGGTCCCAAAAACAGGCGGGTGGTACATTTGCAGGTTGCCTGCTTGGTACCCAACCGGCCAGATTTACAGCCCGGTCGATCCGACCAGTCAGGTTGGGTCGACTTTTTGAGGCAACCGGGGCCTGTCACCAAATTAAGGGGTACACCTGTACGTAACACGCCTGTGATGGCACATGAAGATTCTTCATGACATCCCGAGGGTTTCGTTCGTACTCACGACACAAGCCTGCCTGCAGATGCCTCTGGTCCTGTTTCATTTCCATTCCTTGTTTTGGGTCCAGATAACAGCTTCGCGAGCCAGTGATGGCACAAACCCCAATTGCACTCCCACTGATGCGGGCACAAGCAGTACGAACTAAGGAGCCTCCTAATCCAGAGAATTTGAAGTTCGCCAAATAATGAATCCTCATCTTTCAAAGAGTATATTCTCACGACTTCCTTTTTTAACCATGACACCGAGTGCATGACGCCTGTGAAAGAAATATAGTCGGATCTGGACAGCAACATCATCGTAAAGAAGCCGCGGCTCTAGATCGTAACATGTCGGACAACATCTGGTTCAAAGATCTTCCTCTCGAGCTTAACAGCATCTCGAAGTTTGCAAATTCTGATGGGTTTCAGTGGCTGAAGTATGGCTCCAAGATCTTAAAAAGTGCGGGACACAGAAGGTCGGTTGCCAGCCGAGCAGCACCTTCTACTGTTTCCCTCCCCCTTTCTCGCCTCTTTTCTCGTTCCAAACAACTTTCTTAGCGTTCGCTGCACTTTTGCATCGCCTTTCGTGGTACATCAGCGGACCAAAAGTCAAAATAGAGGATTCACAGTTGAACAAGAGGATAGCTGGTGCTGGTGCCCCAAGCGCACTTTTCCTAGGGCTGAGTTGCACTGCTTTCCCCATTATTTCGAGCACAAGATCTCCCCTACTCCCTCCTCCCCCCTCCCTCCTCCTCCCTCTTCCAGCTCCCCTCCTCCTCCCTCCCCCACTCCCCTCTTCCCTCCCCCCTTCCTCCCTCTTCCCCGCTCCCCTCCTCCTCCCACCTTCCCTCTTCCCCTCTCTCTCTTCCGCCCCTCTTCCACTCCTCCTCCTCCCCCTCCTTCCCCATTCCCGCCCCCCCTCCCTCTTCCACTCCCTCTCCAACTCACCACCTTCCCCCTCCCTCTTTCCACCCTCCTCCCCCTCTTCCCCTCCCTCTTCCCCTCCTCCTTCCCCTCCCTCTTCCCCTCCCTCTTCCCCTCCTCCTTCCCCTCCCTCTTCCCCTCCCTCTTCCCTCCCTCTTCCCCTCCCGTCCCTCTCCCTTCCCTCGTCTCTTTTCCCTCCATTAATATATACATTTACATACATATATAAAAATGAATGTCCACTCAAGCAGCCACAAATCTAGTCTTATTTTCCAAAATATTGAATGCTCGACAATCCAATGTATCGCTATCATACATTTGTTGATTGTCTTCGTTTCCGTCTAGAGCGCGCATCTCAATATTATATATTCATGCATTTGTCTTCTTTCTCTCTTTCCCACTCTCCCATTCTCCCACTCTCCGACTCTACCTTCTTCCCTCTCTCGCGCAAAGGGTCCCTTTCTTCCTCCCTCCCTCCCTCCCTCCCTCTCCCCTCCTTCGGCCCCTCCCTTCTTTTCCCTGCTTCCCTCCCTCCCTTCATTTCCCTGCTTCCCTTCCTTCCTTCTTTTCCCTGCTTTCCTCCCTACATCCCTCCTTCCCTCCCTGCTTACCTCTCTTCCTTCCTGCTTCTTCCCTACCTCTCTGCTTTTTCTAGGTGCTTACCTCCTTGCGTCCCTCCTCCTTCCCTCCCTGCCTCATACCTGACCCCGTGCTCCTCTCCCTCCTTCCCTGCCCTTCTCCCTGCCTCTCACTTATTTACTTACCTACCTATCTACCTACCTCCCTCCCCCCTTCCTTCTGTTCCTCGCACCTTCCATCCCCCTCCCCTCGCTCCGTCCCCCCTCTCTTCATTCCCTCAATCCCCCAATCCCTCCCTCAATCCCTCCCTCATCCCTCCCTCCCTCCTTGAATCCTTTCCTCCCTCCGAGGGAGTCCCTCCTTAAATCCCTTCCTCCCTCCCTCCCTCAATCCCTCCTTCCCTCGCTAAATCCCTCCCTCGCTCCCCAACCCCTCCTCCCCCCATCCGTTCCTGCATCCCTCCCTCCGTCTCTCCTCCCCTCTCACTCTCTTGAACCTTTGTTTCTCTCAGTTATCATTCACACCCCTCTCCTTTAACCTTTCTTGCCTCTTCCCATCACTTATTTCTTTTCTACAGAGCTGACGAAGGCCGAAAGCAAGTATTCCAGGCTAAATATTTTCCACTCCCCCGTGTTCCCCTGTTCCGCTACCTCCATCCACAACGCAAATATTTCTTCCTCCTAACCCTCCCCTTCCAGCCCCTCACTCTCGTCCGTCCCACGTCCGTCCCGCAGAACATATCGCTGAAATCTAGCCTTCCTGCTACAACCTCTCCTAGTCGCCTTCCGACCCAATCTACAAGTATTTCAGGCTCAGAAACGCTTCTCACACCCGTTCCTTTTACCCCCCATTCCCCCCCCCACCCCCCCCCCTTTCCCCCGCCCCTTCTCCCTCCCGCCGCCCTCCACCCCAGAGCATACTACAGCTGCATATCCAGCGTTTCCTGTCGCATCCCTGCCTGGTTTGCAAGTATTTCAGGCTAAAAAATCCTTACCACCAATCTGTGCTTCGTCTCTCCTTGCCCTTTCCATCTGTGCCTGAATCCCCTCCCCTTCCGTTTACATCCATCTCTCCCTCTCTCCTCCGCCCCAGGGCATACCACTGCATATCCAGCCTTCCCTGCTACAGCCACTCCTAGTCACCTCCCTGCCCCGTTTGCAAGTATTCTACGCTCAGAAACGCTTTCCATCCCCGTTCCCTTTAACCCCACCTCCCTCTGCCCCCTTCCCTCCGCCCCAGGGCATATTACCGCTGCATATCCAGCCTTCCCTGCTACAGCCACGCCGACTTGCCTCCATGCCCAGCGCGCAAGCACATTGACTTTGACGCTCACCAGCAGTTCTTCTCGGGTGCTAGCAGCACCAAGGTCACCTACGAGGCCGCGCACAACCACCCCCCTCCCGCCATCCACCGCCGCAGACGTCGCGTCCAGCTGCAGGGGTCGCTCCAGGAGACGCTGCAGGGATCACAGCAGGAGACGCAGCGGGAAACGCTGCAGGGGGCGCTGCAGGAGGCGCTGCAGGAAACGCAGCATGGATCACAGCAGGTGTCGAAGCAGGAGTCTCAGCAGGAGATGCTCCAAGAGCCGAAACAGGGAGCGGCGTGTGCCAGATCGCAGCATGGATCGTGCGACGGGGCACAGAAGGGGACGCTGCACGGGAGGCAGAAAGGGACGGAGCAGCAGGGGGAGCAGCAGGGGATGGAGCACGGGACACAACACAGGGCGTGTGCTGTGGCGTCTTCCCAAGGAGCACTGCCAGTATCTCGTCAGGCTTCTTCGTCTGACTCTCCACAGCACAAGCTTCTGCTGCTCCCATCTTGTGGTGAGGCTGCAGGGATCGTGAGAGATGCGGCTCAGGCATCACGTTGTGGGCCAGCAGAAATTGTGAGAGATGCAGTGCAGGCATCGCGTTTTGGGCCTGCAGAAATTGTGAGAGATGCGGTTCAGGCATCGCGTTTTGGGCCAGCAGAAATTGTGAGAGATGCAGTGCAGGCATCGAACGATGCTGCTGTGGCAGCAGCTGTGACGTTAACGTCTTCTGGGAGTGAGAATGGTGCCATGCCTCGGTTGCCTCGGTGTGACACGGCTTTGAGCTCGTGGTCTGGGTGGCAGCAGGGAGATCTCGCCTTGGAGCTTTCTTTCACGCGTGCGGAGGAAATCGTGGCTTGTGATTGGACAGAACACACAGCACCATCAACTGGAGCAGCTGATGCAGCAGCTAGGACAGCAGCTGATGCAGCAGCTACAGCAGCAGCTGATGCCGCAGCACATGCAGTGGCTGGGAAAGCAGTTACCTCTGCAGCTAAGGCAGCCGGTGATGCAGTTGCTGAGGCAGCTGCTACGTTTGCAGCTAATGCAGCAAAGCTTGTGGTCAACGCAGCAGCGAGGGCTACAGGTGCGGATGGCAATCCAGCAGAACATTTACTGAAGAGCCTACCACTCGAAACGTTGGGTGCTGCAGTTTGTTCAGCCGAGCACAGTCCGAGTCTTCCGAGAGGTTTGAGAGTTGAGAGGCCTTTTCAGCTGAGCTTGGGGGAAGGCAGGGAGATTCATGAGGAGGTGAGGACTGGTGGGGATGGTTGGGACGGGGTGGGAGTTAGAGAGGCTGTTTCAGATAGCGGTTTAGCTGAGCGTTTAGTCAAGAGGGCTGTTGGAACAACCTTCAAATCTGCAGTTGATCTGGGTGATTACAGACTTGATCTTGAAGCAGATGCTGAGGAGTCTTTCCATCTAAATCTTGTAGGAGGCAAGGAACGTAGGAAAAATGCGACGAGCGGTGGGAATGTGTGGGAGGGTTGGGGGGCTCGCTCAGGCAGTGGTGCAGCTGAGAATTCATTCAAGAGGCCGTCAGAAACAATCTCGAATGCTGCAGTTGATGCAGCTGGTCACAGGCAGAATTCTCTCGCAACCCGGACTCATGTTGACCATGCCTGCCAGCTGGCTTGGGAGAAAGGCGGGGAGAAACGTGCAGGCTTAGTGAATGGCAACAGTGGCAGCGGTGGCAGGGAGGTGAAGGGTGAGAGCTTGGTTTATGAGAATGAACGAGAGGCGGCGATGGTAGTGCGGGCAGGTAGGATGGCTTCGGCGAGTGGGGCTGCTCCAGTGGATCGTGAAGCGGATATTAAAGAATGTAAAACTAGTAATAGGACGCACATGTGGGAGGTTGAGAAAGGCTGTGAGGGGCATAGGGAGCTGAGCACGGGCAGCAGAAAGAGGAAGCAGGAGTGGGGGGATGATGTGTTGCGGGGAAGTGAGGATAATGTGTGGTTAGAGGGGAGGATGGTTGTCCGCAGGAAGGACGGTTTTGAGGAACTAAGGGGTGTATGCACTCTTGGAGGGTTGCTGGATAGAAGGAGAGAGGATGTCGGTCCAGTCCTTTCTCTAAGTTTATCAAACGACGGGCTTTCATCAAGACACGGTCCAGGTAGCGCCCGAGATAGTGAGAATCTGGAGACGCGTTCAGGATTAGAAGGCCCTGTGGACGCTGGTGCTGTTGGGAAGAAAATTTCCGGTCCAAGGGATGTGTGTGTAGATATGATCAGAGGAACTGTGCAGCAATGCACTGGCAGGCGATTAGGTGAAGCAAAGATGGGCGTTACAAGTGGCTGGGCAGCTGGGAGTGACAGAGGAGCCGCAACACCAGGAGTGGGAACGGGAGGTTTTATCACGGGAGGAGAGGGGGGAGGAGGAGAAGAAATAGGGGGGATTGTTGGTGCTGATGCGAGCAGCTGCCTGGCTGGTGGAGAAAATGATTGTGCAGAAAGGGATGGTGCGGTCATAGACTTTACGGACGGGAGGAGAGCAGCAGAAGCTGGCGCTGGCGCATCACAGTGGGAAAAGGCTTCCCAGTCAACGCTCGGGCCAGTGGCAGCACTGCAGGGGCAAGGGCTTATAAAAAACGCAGAAGGGGCTGCTGAAGTGCTGCAGCAGGAGCCTCAGGGGTACGCAGGAGAACAGGCAGCAGATGTTGAAGGTGAAGCATTGCAGCGGCGGTCGTCACCATTGAACGGCTGGCAGGCTTTTGAGGCTTGGAGATCTCGATACTTCCGTAGCCAAACAATGCCGTCTCCTCTCAACCCCCTTGCAGTGCAGCAGCCGCCATCCTCTTTAAAAGCGTCACGTTCTTTAATAAATTGTGCAGCAGCGTTGGGTCCAGCAACACCCCTTCTGCGTCCAGACGCTCCGCCGTTTCTTCGCGTACAGAGCTCGCCTCTTGTGTTGTCGGCTACATTAGGGGAGGCGCCAGAGAGGGTGAAAGAGTTGCCGAATGGGGCCCTGTGCATTCTGGGAAAACGTGGAGACCATATGAAGGCAGAGGAGGGACTGCAGAAGAATTGGTGGTTGGGAGAGGCGGGGATCAAGGGTGAACCTCTTGATCCATTTCAGCGTGCAATGAAAAGGCAGGTCAGTGAGGGTCCAGTGGATGCCACAGGCATGCATTCCCCAATAACACCTTTAGGGGTGCTCGAAGATGGGCGCCTTGAGTTGAGGAAGTTTATCAAGGCGGATATTGAGTGGATTTCAGCACAAGAGGATCATGCCGCACCGTGTCCTGCAAAGATTGCCACCAATTTGCCACCTGTCTCGTTCAACAGCTTCATGCCTGTGCATGACACGCGATAGGTTATAGCGGAAGCGCAGCGGTTATTAGCTTGCACATTGTGTTGCAGCAAGAGAGTGATGGTTATGCGTGCTCGTTGTGTTGAAATAACAGTGTTGTTTTACCTGGAAATGTACTAGTAGTAGGCGCATGGAGAGCCTGGCAATGTCAGAATGTTATGTTTGTCTAGCCTGCAGTGGGGTACTCTATAGTGAGTACAACCCAAACTAGGGTTTCCTATATGTATCGTACCTACTGCTAGTGCAAAACTCTCTTTGCCTGTTTCTCGTTTTCGCCTACTATCTTGACATGGTATCAGAGCACTAAGGTCCGTAGGACCGTTTTTTTTTCGGGCCCACCTACCGCTGCGGTTACCGCGCTACCCCACGTACCTGCCTGCCTTGCCTTGCCTTGTGACGTGCTGCACTATGTGCGCCGTCCAGCAGCCCTAGCGCTGCCTCCTACTGCCCTAGGCCAGCGCGCTGCCCCTAGAGGCCCGTAAGGCCCACGCGCCGCCCCTAGAGGCCCGTAAGGCCCGCGCAGCCTGCTGCAGCCGCGCGCAGCCCGCACAGAGCCCGCGCAGCCCGCGCCGAGCCGCGCGCAGCCCGCTGCAGCCGCGCGCAGCCCGCACAGAGCCCACGCAGCCGGCGTGCGGCCCGTACGGGCTGCGCCAGGCCCGCGCGCGGCCCGTACAGCCCGCGCGCGGCCCGTACGGCCTGCGCCAGGCCCGCGCGCGGCCCGTACGGGCTGCGCCAGGCCCGCGC